GAAGCCTGCTTCTCCCTCCCCCACTTTCCCTGCTTGTGTTCCTGCTCTCACTATCTCTCTCTCTGTCAAATAAATAAATAAAATCTTTAAAAATAAATAAATAAATAAATACACCATAAAAGTGTTCCACATATGAAATAATAAATAACTTCACTAATTGTAAGATTTTTGAAGAAATTGTTAGCAAGCAATTAGAGAATCTAAGTTTACATAATGCTGGCCATTTCAAATTGATTAGGCTAGAGTAGAAACGTCTCTTACGATACTTCTATTCTCAGAAAAGAATGCCTTCCTCAACCCTCACTGACTGTGGGGGCACGAACTAGTCACTTCTCACCCTGGGGCCTCCAGCCCTTCCTCTACAAAAGGAGAGATAGGGCCAAATGCCCAGGGGCCTCCCTTACACTTGGCATTCACTTCAACTCAACCCTTTTAACATATATGTAAGTCGACCTAATATGAGACATAGGCTAAAAGTAGGTATCTCTTTTGTTAGTTGGTTATTTGAATTTGTTAAATAACAAATTATCCGTAGTTTAGAATTTGTAATGTATTTAAACTCTCACATTGTGGCTTTTGTATTCTGGAAACAGTAGCAACTTCTTGGTTGGACTGCATTACACATTTGATGTTGAAGAATGCATGTCACCATTAATTACCCATACTGTGTAGACCTATGTACACATACACCTTAATTTCCACATAAAACACCAAAAACACTATGTATGAAAGTCATTCCCCTTTGCTCAAAAAAGGTCCTGCCTTCAGCTCCAGTCTTACAAAATAAATCTCTCAGAGCTCTTGTCTCAGTCTACTGGTAGGGATCAGGGCAGTCTTGGCTTTGAAAGAGAACCTTTCGAAGAGATAACCTTCACTTCCAAGAAGATGCTGCTTTGTCATTGGAAAGTAGTACTGTGTTGGTGCGGTATGTCCAATGGATGGAAGGATGCATAACCGAAAAGAGAGATATAGTGTGAGAGAGAAAAACAGATTAGACAGAGAGATGGAGGGATCAAAGAGATGAAATAGACTGCAGAAATGCATAAAAATACAAAATAGATTAGAGAAATATGTGCATGACTCCATTTAGAAAGATATACAGACACAGAGATTAGATAGGAATATACACAGAAGAAAGGTAAATAAAAATGGAGATAAATAGAAACATAAAGAGTCGATGAAAACAGACAGAGCAGAGAGGTAGATAAATGCCCTGGAAGACAGAGGTGGATAGAACAGGTGAGTCGGAGAGCAAGCAGCTAGAGGGAAGAGACAGCTGTATTAGACCCCAGATGGATCCGGTGGGTCAGGTACCAATGTGCTACACAAACTAACTGCTGGCTCTGGAATTTTGCAATCAGAACTACCCTGAGGGACCTTCTTGTCCCTACTGTACAGCTGAGAGGAGAGGAAGTGAGCCTGTGTTTCCTTCATGCGGACGCCTTACATGTATTGTCATCTTTACTTCTCAAAACTACCCACAGAGTACGCAATAGAGAAGGCAATGGTCTCGGAAGGTAAAGTGACTTCCTAAGATCAGACCAGGGGTGGCGGCAGAATTCTGACTCCAAGTCTCCGCTCTTCCCTCTGTGTCCCAAAAGAAACGTGCAGAACTCCAAATGGCGCGTTAGACTCGGAGAGCTAGTCCTTACCTGTCAATGAAGCTGAGTGATCTGAGCCAGCAAGAACATAGGTTGCTTTAGAATTCTCCAGGCCTACAAAAAAAAAAAAAAAAAAATCTTTTGAAAGCACATTTATAACAGAACAAATTGGGCAGAGAAGGGGCTCAGGTAGCACCACCGGGGCCCGAAAGAAACCTGCAGCCAAAACAGGCAGGTCTGAGTCGGTGGCGCTGGCCAGAAAGATGGATGATGTGGTGGGGACACTGTTTATATACCAAGGCATTGAACAAATAAGTAAATATACTGAAGATAAAGGAGCCCGATTTCTCACTAGCGGAGTGGAGAGGAAAGGTAGAAGGCTAGAATCGACCATGTGATAGTGGATTGTAATTGGAGAAATCACCGTAAACTCATGGTTTCGAGTAGAGACAGACAAACAGACACGGGTGTACATATGTGGAAATATGTGTGTGCACACAGCTCTCTCATAGCTCTGTCCACGCGTGGGCCTAGAAGCGACAACATCTCACACATTCAGCTGCCGTCTCATAGTGTGCAGGCAAACTCAGGACTCCAAAGAACATACAGGCAGAATTAAGAATTGTTGTGAACCGGCCTTCCATCTCCAAATCTAGCACTTTTCCTCCCTAATTACACTGCCTTCACTGACAGGTTATAATCTCAACTGACTCTGCTAGAAACTGTGGTCACTGGGTCTAGCATGCAGAGAAGGCAGTCTTATTCTGTAACTCTTTTCTGACACTTCTGTTTATTAACTAGTGTTAATAAAATGCCCCTCACACCTTTGAGGATCCTGCGAAATGAGAAAAGGACAAAGCAGATGTTTCCAGCACATTCACCAGAGAGGAAGCATGGGGCCTCGCAGCAAGGCAAGGAGGGGACGTCCAGGGTTGCAGCTGCAGAACCAATGGCAAGGAGGTAACGAAGGGGAAACAAAAAGGGAACGACTTTGAGGGCAGGAAGCTCACGATCTATTCTAATGTCCTATCAGAAAACTCCACCAATCAACTCAAAATCTAAGCTGTGCCCCAAACAGAACCCGAACAGGTCATTTAAATCAAATCAAAGCATATCTGATTTCTTC